AATAGTGTTTTATTGATTTCATCAATTATTCATACTACCAATCAAATATAAAAGATAATGTATTGATTAACTCAAGGGTTCCAAACTGATGGATCCACAAGGGAAATTTAGCTTATATTTTCTTTGATCCAACCAGTATTAAAAAGATCTAAAAAATAAATAAATAAATAAATAAATAAATAAATCGCAAAATTTTAGATTTCTCAGTTTCTCTTTCCACAAGGGACCTGAATGTCATGTGACTAGAATCTGCTTGAGCAGATTGGAATTCCCCTTTAGGTAAGCCTCAGGACTCTCTGTTACTTACACTCAGCCGGTTTTAATTATTAAATACCTATTTGGATCCTCTATGTGTGTGACACCTGCAGTAGACTGGTGTTGGAGGCTGTGATGGTGTGCATACGTGTTTATGAAATAAACATACAACCAAGATGGCTTAATAGTCTCAACCCATGTGAGAAATGAGATTATATTTATGTCAACTCATTCCTTCAGCATCCATTGGTAGCCTATTAAATAGCAAAATATCACTTTAAGAATAAAAAATAGATTCCTAATTATAAATATCATGAAAAGAAAACTTCCTATATCCACAAAGCTGCACACTAATCCCATGAGACCTTTATTCCTACTTTGTTTTCTTCCCTCGGGTTTTTTCTTCCCAAATGTATCACAGAAAAGTCATAATCTATTTTTTTTACAAGAAGATTTATTTTGGATTAAGTGATTTCATGATGCAACATGGTTTTAAACAAAATAGAGATCAGTATGAAAATAAAATAAATTGTACACATTAAAATATCTTTCCTTCAAAGCATTTCAGATTTAAAAAAAATACAACACAAAAAGCCAGGGGTTCAGATGAGGATAAGATACAGACTTTGCAGAAAACAAACAAGGAGTCTACATGTCAGAGTTCCAGGCTCCACTTAATCCCACCCACGAATCATTTCTGAGATGTCAACAATCTGCATTGTTTGGTTTGAAAAAAATAAAAATAAAAGTAAAAGATGAGCTTTAAATATAAGGTGCAACAAGAGCTGTACAATCTTAATGCCAATAACAAATGCCTCCCATTATTACTCTCTATGAAAAGTCACATTGACTGGGTATGAATTTTAAATCAACTCAAACAGAAACATAGCTATTACCTGTGATGCGTGGTGTGGTAGACACAGTAGGTGGAGTTAGTGAAAGGAAATGGCAAGGCTTTAAAAAAATACATCACCTGGGCTCTACTGAAATCTTAGAAATAAATATGTTTGTTTGTTTTGCAGAGCCTTAATATTAAAAAGTAAGCATTATTATAAAATTAGATTAATACTTTCAGTAAGAGGCAAGAGAGATGCGTGTATTTTCACTTACTTTGGAATGCCTGCATCCCTATTGTAAAAACATGTAATCTCATGTACGTTCCAAATATTAACAGCCTCAAATTTTACCTATGATAGCATATAAAGAAACATAAATATGTTGTAATAACATCTTTGAGAGCATTAAGGTCCTATAAGAACATTCGGTTCTCTGTGTGTTTCTTAGTTAAGCCTTCCAAGGTATTTCTTGAATGTTATTCACCCCCCACCCCCCACCCTTTTTTTTTCTTCAGAAGGTGATACTACCGTGTTTCCCCGAAAATAAGACATCCTCCGAAAATAAGACCTAGCACATGGAAAGATAAGACATCCCCTGAAAATAAGACCTAGCACAACTTTGGGAGAAAAAATTACTATAAGACACTGTCTTATTTTCGGGGAAACAGAAGCTTACTGATGATTCCTCATTGGCACCAGTAACAGCTGATTCAGGTTGAATCACACAACACACCAATTAACATGCCCCACGGTTGTAGTATCTTCAAAGAAAAATTGGATAGAAAGCCCTCACCTGCCCAAGGCCACTGAAAGTAAAAACCACACACATACATGTAGGGTTCCTGTGTTCCCCGGGGAACGGGGTCTGCCCATGCTGCTGATCTGTCCATCGTGAAAGACAACTACTCTGCACCGTAAGACTAAGTAAATGTCTTTTCAGTCTTGATTGACTTCCGGAAAAGTTGGAAACACTGACCGGGTCTCCATTTGAAACCCAGGAACCCAGCTGTTAGGCTTTCACCTTCTAGACTAGCAGAGAACATTGAAGCCACCACTAGAAACCATGAGAATGTCTCAAAGGCTACTCGAACGTCAAAGAACGTCTCCTGAAAACCAAATTCAGTGGAACAAGCCAAGCAACACCCTTTCCTCTATTTCATGCACGGAGTTCAATAGTAGTAACAATGCTTCTTAAGTTTAAAAATATCCACAATGGAATTTAGTACTAAATTACCGACACCCCTGATGGAAGCTCTGGCTAGCTCTAATAGTGGGGGCTACACTCTGTTTCCCAATACCTAAATGTCACCAACCTGCCTAACTTAGAAAAACAGGCTACTCCCAAGAGGGGGGTTAGGGAGCAGCGCCCTCATTAGGCAACATGGCAGGCTTTTCCTCCAAAGTCAGAAACCAGATTGAAGTGCTTGCTCCCACCCTACAGGCAAGCCCTAACAGGATCCTCCCACCCCGTTTCAGCACCCTCCTCCCCGCCGTGAAGGTCCTCCCTGAACTACTGCTAGTCCCACAGGCTCCTGGAATGCACCTACCACTCCTCAGTCTGGGCTGTTGTCAGTAATTAGCACTGCCTTCCTGGCGGGCAGGGCATGTCTTTTTTGCTTTTTCGTGTTTTACCTCCCAGCGGGGAGCAGTCGGTTGGCGTTCAGCCACCATTTAGAAATGAGAAGCCTGACTGTCGCTGGGATCCCTTTTCTTCTATGTCACACAAACACACCTATCAGGAAAGCACGATCGAACGACAAAGTTAATGGACTTAGCAAAAATTGGACTTTAATTGAAAGCGACAATCTTGATTTAAACTCAGGTTGTATGGGAGGAAGGTGTCTAAGATCTAGTGTTTGCACTCATCACCTAAATCAGAAAGCAGGTCAGAGAGAACCAAGGGCCTGAGATCAGTTTGGAGATGAGTCTTCACTTGCATGCTTTGACTGTGCAGACTTCAGATCTCTTAATGATCGATCACATTAACATCATTTCACCTGCCAGGGGAATTTCCTGAATGGGCTTCAAACTGGGAAGATTGTTAGATTCTTCATTGTAAGATGTTTGTCTTAGTTAAAGAGGTCTCGTTCTAACTACAATTTGTGTAGAGAGAAAGAAAGAAAAAATTGGATGACTGTGAGGACAGAGAGGAAAAAACTCAACCCTGCAGTAGTTTCTTCATCCACATCACTGCCTCTCTGCCACCAGGGCTTTCTAGATCCATCCCTCCTAAAAATAAAAATGAAAAAGTAAAAGAAGGCTTCTTTTTCCCCCCATGATGTTGCTTCCAAATAGTATTTGAGGGAACTAAATGGCTATACTATATAAATCCACCCAAAGCAATCAAATGGGGCCCTCTTTTTTTCGTTTCTTATAACAAACAGTAAAAGGCAACCGTTAAGCAAATGGGGAGTTTTTTCCAGGAATGGACTGTTCTCATTTCTTCATGGGCTTTTCTGAAGGCGTCACCTCTTAGAGTGTTCGAGAAAGCGAGCCTTTGGTAGATGAATCATCTTGCGAAATTCACTGAAAGCGAAACATGCTGGTAGGAACATCAGCTCTCCATCTCTGGTGACGAAACCTAGAATGGTAACTATCAAGTACTGAGACATCTCACCAGCCAGCCACGGACATCAGCCTCAAACCAGAGGGGACGTGATACCTTCGTCCCCACGAGGTATGTGAGGAAGAAGAGATGATGCGCCCGCAAGTTCTCTGACCTTCTGACGTGTGATACAAACAGGTGCTACCATTGCCGTCAACCACCTGAAGGCCGTTTTCCCATCAGGATTCTTACACAGGTGACACAGATTTTCCCTTATTTTCTACAGAATTCCTACAGGGTCATCCTAAACACAGCAGGTGCTAGAAAGGGATGGCCATGCTTCTCTGACCAAGATCCAATCACTTTGTACACAAGAAAAATGTTTGACCCCAGAAGTGGGCTGGGCTCAAGGACTGGCATTTCTCACAGTGAAAACGGAAGGTACACTGGAGTGCAGATGGAAGGAACCGGAAAGGACCAGATTTCACGTGGGCATCTCTTGGATAATGGGGAGATCCCCCAGTTGTGCCTTTAGGTTCTGCTCCCCACATGCACACTTCATACCCTTGTGTATCGAGGCATCATGGGCTCCAACACTTGACCAATAGCAACACACTGTGACATGCCTGTGGTCCCCAACAGAAAGGGCACTGAGGTGACCTTCCTCCCTTTCTCCCTTGGCTATAAGCACCCATGTATGAAGCCTTCAATGACTTCTCAGATGGAACAAACCATTCTCTTCTCACTCCTTAATTGTACAACAAACCAGATTAAAAATACTTTTTTGAACCTCCGTGCCTACTCCTCTAGACCAGTGGTCAGCAAACGGCAGTTCGTGAGCCACCTGCGGCTCTTTGGCGCCTTGAGCGTGGCTCTTCCACAAAATACCACGGCCTGGTCGAGTCTTTGTTGAAGAAGTGACGTTAGAAGAAGTCTAAGTTTAAAAATGTTGGCTCTCAAAAGAAATTTCAGTGGTTGTCCTATTGCTATTTGGCTCTGTTGACTAATGAGTTTGCCGACCACTGCTCTAGACCATGAACTTCTGAAGGGCGGATTTTGAATTTGCAGCTCCATGATCAGACACAGTGGCTGACACGGGGCTAATGCCAACACTGGGCCTCTCCTCTCATCTCAGAGACTATCTGCGTCCGTACACGATGCACGGTGACTGTCTTTGATGCGTAAGACGAGGTATCACTTAAGAGTTTCTTAAAGGAACAAGGCCATGCAGCAAATCACCCAGTTCACGGTCCAGAAGAAAGAATATATGGATATTTCTATTTGTAGAGTGTGTTCAAGTCTCCATTATTCTGTGGGCATGATATTTAACATTCTAGAAAGTGATCGTTGGACTTTTTGCTTTCCTAGTGAAGAAAAATAGGCCAGGGACCACAGTGTTTTGATAGGCTAAGGACAACTTTGAGAATCCCCAGTTCTGAGAACAGTAGCAGCTAGATGCTTATCCTGTTATATGAGAAGTTGGACACCCCTGACAAATAAGTATATTTGTTAGAAATAATTAAAGAGATACACTTTACTTCCAATTTCTTTTACCTGATAATGTGTAGTAGGGTAACAGTGTCACAGACCAAAATGAAAGCTCACATGGTCTGTGAATGTATTTTTTGAAAGAAATGCAACCTTCGGTTTCAGCTGTTCAGAGAATGCCAGCTCTGAAACATCACATTACCATAAAAAAAGTCGTTTTTTAAATAAAGTATATATTATTTCCCTTATAATGAAAACATATAAACAAGTAAAAATAATTTGCAAAATTAAAAATGCTTACATTCATGATCAATAAATACACACTAACAGCTCCAGTTAAAATTGTTTTCTCTTCCCTGTTTCTGGCCCTTTCCCACGCACGAGCTCTGGGGGTCTTTTTCCAGAACATTCCCCGCACAGCAGCATCTGCCTTCGGTGCAGGAACACAGCCTGAGTGGTTTTCCTCTGGAGACTCCAGCAGTAAATGCAGCTTACCCAATGGGAGGCGGAGGGAGGGGGGACGGGAGGAGGGAGAATCAGTCTTAAAACCTACAAAACCCATGCCCGTGACCTTTATAAAGTGTAAGACCGCCAACATCCCATCACGAGGACCCCACGGCTCCTTGTAGCTCAGAGAAGTGGCTGTGCCGTGCTGTAAAACCATAAGCTGGCAAACCAGTGTTAAACCAATGCGTTTATTATTCATAAAGTAACGTCACTGTATGAGCCTCTGGTGAGTTATGGCCATCCGTCCAGGAATAAACCACCATGTGGGAAAAACCCAAAAGCAGCAGAAGCAAAGGACGCCTCTGATAAAACTAAGCCAGTGTAACGTTAGTGAGGTCGTGCAGCATCCGAGGTGCCCTCGGAGGCCCATTTCCTTATGTCAAAGAGGAATCTGAGCATCAGCGAAAACGCAGGCTTGGAAACAGAGTACCGAGGGCTGAGGGCTTTTGTCTGTGACGTCCTCGACTGCCGAGGGAGCAGAATTCCTGTTACTACAGAGAGCTGACCCCTCAGGTGCTGCTGATGGCTCCCTCAGTGAGCGTGGGGTGTCATGATGCTGTGCAAATAAAGAGCAAGGGGGGGGGGTACGAAATATCTTTATTAAATGCCATCCTGTGAAGTATCTGATGGATGGAAGAGTCTAATGCATTTTAAATAAATGCATAGTGTATGATCACATACCGTGAGTCTTAAAAAAAATTATTACTGGAGATGCACAGTCCTGGAGTGGTAGACATGGCACTGTGGAGAAGTCTGAGTTCGAAGCTGTTATACTTGCCAGATGATGGAGCTGCTGTCAGTTATCTTGTAGTGTCCCTTCAACTTTGGTACGTTCAGTGCAAAATATTTCGGGGGGGTTGTTTTGTACCTTTATAAAAATCAAAGGCCCTTTGGTTCCCTGGACAGTGGCTTAAAAGGAGACCGACTAGCATGACGCCCATGTAAGCATGGAACATGGAAATGGGTCGGGCGCCACAGACCGCAGGACAGGTAGGCTCCTGTACACACCTTGAAGAACATAAATAGCATGAACCTACAAAAAAAAAAAAGGGAGCAGAACTCACCGTGGACTTTTTCCTGATATGCTGTGAGTTAGTCGCTAGCTATTTAACATAGTTCCCATGCATTAGAAAGCGTAAATCTGCCGGGAGGAGTTCACTGTAGAACAGTTTGTCCCCAGCCATGAGGACACACAGACCACTCTGCATATCCCTCGTCACAGACCACTCAAGAGCAAACCTTTTGAGTTGCCTCACGTTGACTTGGTTTCATTTCCACTCGGGTCCTGTGGAAGCCAAAACCCACGTGCACACCATGCAGGCACACGTAAGCAAGAAAAGGAACGTTCTGTGATAACCTGGGTCCCCCACAAAGGTACTTTCGGGGAAATACACGCGTTTTTATTCCGTTATTGAGCTCGCACTCATTTGGAGAGCGGGTCAAGGGCTGCCCGTTTGGCTTGAACCACGTCCAAGGTTAAGTTTTGAGGTTCTCCCGAGTCTCTGCACAGTGACCTTGAGCTGACCTCACTCAGGTTCATCTTGGTCTTGGAGCCCACGAACGGGAAGAAGGGTGGCAGTCAGGGCCTGCTGATGGAAAGGCTGGTGGGCCGTCCCCCGGGCATCACGCTCATCCCCATCCTTCAGAAAGGACTCCTCACCACGAGCCCGTCCCCAAACGTGGCTTAGACCTGTCCAGCGATGGCGTCCCTCGGATGATAGCACACTCTGACCCTCCGGTGACAGGCCATCCTGGGAGGGCGGCTTCCCAGCCCGCCTGTCCCCACGCAGCTGGGCACCGGGCTCTGCTCACTCAAGTCCAAAGGTGCTGGTCTCTTCGACGGCTGTCAGGAGCTTCTCATACAGCATGGAGAACGAGGGGTACGGGGGGAGGTCCAGGCGGTTGAAACACGTGTGAGCTCTGTGAACAGGAGAAGCACATGGAGCTTAGAATGCTTAAGGCGATAGGAGATTGTCGTGTGTGTGTGTGCGCGCGCACGCACGCACGTGTGTGCATGAGCACGTGCGTGTGCAAGCAAGTTGGTTTCTTGCCTATTTTCACACTGCTTTTGGAAAAACTTTGACTTGAAAATTCAGAATTGAAAACAAAACTTCAGAATTAAGTTTCTCTCCAGGAAACGGGTATTTACAAAGTGTGTTTTCTTTCTATTTTCACAACCACTTATCCATTTGACATACACATTTGGTTTTTTTGTTTCTCTTGACATTTTTTTACAGACATGCACAGATACTCTTGCAAAGAAATTTATTTTCAGAATTGGCATTTGCATGGATGTTTCAAAAATTAAGGGTTTCAAGGTGTTTGGTTTTCTGGGGCAGGGACGGCCACGAGTGTCTCTGAAGACCTGGCCATGGTGTGGATTCTCTGGAAATTCCCTGGCACGATCTCCCTGTCAGTCAGGGCACCACTGCCAATGCCTCTGGATTCTGAGTATATTTTCTCCTAAATCACAACACAGCCACACTCGGAGTTCACAACTCTTGTTATTACAAACTCTAGGACATTTTGAGGGCAAGTCATCTAATTAATATTTGCAGCCAAATACCTTTTTGTGATGTAATGAACTATTTCAGGATTGCATTTAATATAATCCTTATACCTTCTTTTCACTGGAACCTCAAGTTGGGCCTCATGGAAAAAGGTTTTACTTTAAAAAAAAAAAATGGAGCTTGCATTCTAAAAGTCAGTCCTGTCTACTTATGGAAAGCACTGGAATAAGAAGATTAAATGAAGACTTTATCTTTGTTTAGGGAGAAGGGGAAGAAAAAGCAGAGAAGTGAAATATAGCATGTTGGGACTATAATTGTATTGAAATATAGTGGCAACCATACTTTGGTAAAAACTGCTGTTTGAATTTTAAACCTGCTAAGGCAATTTTCCTGTGCCTGGGGCCATAACCTTTGGAGATTAACCACTGAGTTCTGCTTCTGCAAGATAGGGCCACATTCCAATGTCCAGCAGGATGTGACTGGGAACAACCCTGTGGGCTGACCCCAGTTTTTAGAATATAGTCTTTAGGATTTAGAATTTAGAACAAAGGAAAATTCCTGTGGTTTGAACTGTTGCAGAGTTCCCGAGCGGTTGGACGGTGCAGGGGGAGAGTGTGGAGAGACTTGTTTTGTTCATCTCGAGATGGGCTTAGGGAGGATGAGTTCAAATTCTAAGCAAGGTTACAGGCAGAACTTCCTATTTATTTATTTATTTATTTATTAAAGAGCCAGCCCTATGTGCACTTAGTGGTTATCTCGATGCTGGCCTTGAAAACAATACAGTTCTATCCAATTGAAAAAGTGCACCTGGCATGGTATTGAGATTCTGGGCATATTAGGTCTCTGGCCTAAGGTCAGACAGCTAAGTTTATCTTCATCATTCTTCAAATGGGCTAAAGCAACATTTTATCTAGGAAGAACAGCAGAAAATTCCAAACAACAGTTTGTTGCAAAATAGGGGTTTTCCTTCTCAGAACCTTTAAGAAGAACTACCTGCCCCTGAAGCAGTGCAGTCGTGAGGAGTCCGCCTGCGTGTGGTGCTCTTGCGGCTGTCCTGGCCAGATACTTCAATAAATCTTTGCCTGCTCTTTTAAATAAATCATCAGCCTCCGGTGGTCTTATTTTGAACCCAGGGTTCGATCCCACAACAGTATTCCAGATTTTGTGTTAGACACTTAACATTCATTATCCCATTAGACTAAAAAGATGGTACTGCTTTTATTTATTAAGATAATTTTATTCTTATTGATTTCAGAGAGGGAGAAGGAGAGAGATGGAAACATCAATGATGGGAGAGAATCATTGATCAGCAGCCACATGCACGCCAACACTAAGGATCAAGCCTGCAACTCGGGCATATGCCCTGACCAGGAATTGGACTGTGACCTCCTGGTTCAGAGGTCAACGCTCAACCACTGAGTCATGCCCACCGAGCAAGATGGTACTTCTTTTAAATAAAATTTTAATACTTTTCCTTTGGTTATCGACTAGGCTGTGCATTTTCCCCAAGTCAGCCTGCTTTAACATTTTCCTGTTTTGGGATCTACATGTTCTTTTTCTTTTAAATTTTTATTGTGGTAAGGTATACAGCACATTCCATGTGTCCTGTTAACCACCGTTAAGTGCACAGTTCTGTGCATTAAGCATATTCGCCTTGTTCTGCAACCATCACCAGCACCCATCTCAATCTTTCTGTCTTTCCAAACTGGAATCTTGTGCCCACTGATCACCAACTCCCACCCTCTCCTGTCCCTGCCCCCACCGTCCTACTTCCTGTCTTTGTGAACGTGACCACCGTAGGGACTTCACGTAGGAGGAATCATACACTATTTGTTCGATCTGACTGCCTTGTTTCATGTCGCATAACCTTTTCCAGGCCCCTGTTGTATCATGGGTCAGAATTTCCTTCCTTTTTAAGGTTGAAGAATAGCCTAGTGTAGCCCTGGCCGGTTTGGCTCAGTGGATAGAGCATCGGCCTGTGGAGTGAAGGATCCCGGGTTGGATTCCGGCCAAGGGCACGTGCCCGAGTTGTGGGCTCGGTCCCACGTGGGGTGCCATGTGGGAGGCAGCCGATCGATGGTTCTCTCTCATCACTGATGTTTCTATTTCTCGCTCCCTCTCCCTCCCTCTCTGAAATCAATAAAAATATTTTTTTTTGAAAAGAATGGTCCCTTGTATGATATACCAGTTTGTCACTCACATGTTGACAAACATCTGCGGGTGTCCACCTTTTGACTACTGTTCAAAATGCTATCATGATTCCCGCCTTGTGAGACACCGAGCCACAGGCCCAGGTAAGCCACAGAAGCAGGGATGGAACAGTTGCGTGCTGTTGGGAACTAGGAATGTGTTCTACAGCAACAGAAAACTCCTACAGGTCCCAAGGTCCAAGTCCAAGGAAAGGCGGCAGGGGTCCTAGCTGAGATTCGATAGCATCACGCCTGTCGAGGGCAGGCAGGGGCAAAGCTGGGGGTGGACAGCGGCCTTTCACTGTCCCGGTTCCTCAGCACAGAAACAGGAATGCTGCCTGTCTGTAGCTCCTGCGTTGTCTTTGTCGACACTAGTGTGTTAGCCCACAAAACCGAAAGCCTGGGGAGACTTTCCTCGAGGTTTCAGGTCCCAACCAAAGGGAGGGACGGGACATCTTTCTTGATCCTCCTCAGTGAGGACACGCTCGCAGTGGCTGGCCCACGACCTAAGGCCATCACTGCCTCCCAAGGTACAGCTGGTTGTATAATATAACATACGGTGACCATAACGAAACGTTCCTTCTGAGCGAACTGGCCGGCTCCTCCTCTGACAAATGCCTCAGGAGGGTGGAAAAAGTACATCTTGTAAAGGGGGAAACTGTGCAGAAAGACTAAATGGTTTTCCCAAGGTCAAAGTTGAGTCAGTGGCCAAATCAAGAGCAGGACCTCAGCCTTGGGCTCCTAGGGGAAGCCCAGCATCAAAACCAAAGCAGGCAGACTCCGGCTCATCGCTCAGTTCTGTCATTGTCGGACGCCTGTCAATGTCATCCATCCCCTACCGGACAGCAAACTGCTAGTCCTCCACCTCCTCCCAGACTGCATACGTTCTGAGGCCAGGGATTAGCCAAATCAGCTTCAAATGGCTTCTAAATGCATTACTCCATGACACTATGCAGGATCAGCTCAGGGAAAAATGGTCCCCATGGGGTCCGCCCCAAAAACCCTGGGAGATACCAGGGGATTTTTGGGTGCTTATCTCTACCTAGGGATCCCCAGAAAACAGCCACTCAGAGTGATAAGAACCACAAGGAAGCTTGTTTACAATGCAGATTGGGGCTGCACCCCACCCCACCCCCCAGATTCTAATTCAGAAGGTTTGGGGGTGGGGGTTAGGGGCCTGCGGCTGGTGCAGGCGGCTTTCCACACCAGCATTCTGTGTGCTTGCAAAGAATTTCAAAACCCCTCATAAACAAGGCAGCGCTGCTAAACGAGGAAATTGAGGAATCGTGCGGTCAAGCACATTGCCCAATACCTACTGTCGACGTGCCATATGAGCCAAAAACAGGAAGGGGAAAAAACAAAGCAAAACAAAACACAATCCTCGGAGGCTTTCACACCCCCCTCCCCCGCCTCCCCATTCCAGGTCCCGGGAAAACTCCAGCAGAAAGGAGCAGCAGGCCCTGGGACGGTGTTGACATTGGCAGCCAGCACGCACCCCGCTAGGCAGGCTCCAGAAAGGACACTTTCGGAATCTCTGCGGGGCGCCCCGCGACCTCGGGCCCTAATGAGTTCACCTCACTTTGTCCCCCGCAGCCAGAGCCCCTGGCAGAAGCCGGGCCGAGCCGCTGGGGGGAAGTCACGCTGGCACCAACACAGGGAATGTGTAAGCCCCCCAGACATCTGGTCTGGCCCAACAGACAGATCTCTGGATGCTTTCTGGATTCTTGCAGTGTTCACCATGAGGTCACATTCGTACCCTCTCTTCTTTCCTATAGATGGTCAGGTCTGTTACCCAAACTCAGCGGGCCAAGTAGCACAGGACAAGCAGGTGTTCTCTGATTGTTCACTGCATCTCTCTCTCTCTCTCTCTCTCTCTCTCTCTCTCTCTCTCTCTCTCCCTCCCTCCCTCCCTCCCTCTCTCTCTCTCTCTCTTTGTGTGTATTAACCTATTCATTTAATCCCCATTTTCCCAGAAGTGAATTTTAGTAGTTTATAAGGACTCAAAATATAAGGCACAAAAAATTATAATCAGGATTTCATGCACTGGGCCTTTCTTATAATCAGGTAGGTTCTTCATCTGGGAAAGATGAAGACTATATACTTTTTAAATGTAAGAGATGGACACCAATAGAAGCAGCCCCGGGAAGGAGCTGTTCCAGGCTGAGCACTCCTGGAAGTCCCAACAAAACAGAAACACCCTGGGGGGAGACAGCACGTTGCT